CAGGGGGGGGGGCTGGGGGGGCTTCAAGGTCCCTTCCCACCCAAACCATTCCATGATTAAAGCTTTGCTGAGAAGGAGCGAGGGGAAAGCCTGGACCTGGCCGGGCAGGGCTCCTCGCTGCACGTCCTCTGCTGATCGTCGGGGCGGGTGAGCGCATCGCAGTATCGCTCCTCCACGATGCCGGCCAGCTTCTCCACGCAGTGCACGATCTGCCGCTGCACCCCTGCGGACACAGGCAAGGCCCTGGCTCGAGGTGAAAATCGAACAAAACCACCAAGCATCCCCTGGCAGCCGGCAACAGAAGGCCCAAAGGAAAGCCTGAGCCAACAAAACCAGGGAAAGAACATCAAACCACCACTAAAACCGGGAGTCAAGAGCCCACTTCTGCTGAGGCACATGAGCGACGAGACCTACAGAGCTCAACTGGGCTGGGAAATGAATGGCTCAGTTCAACCTCACAAATCCATGGGACATCTCTGCTTGCCCTCCCGGAGCATTGTCACCAAGGGGTTTGCAGGGACAAGGCAGGTTAAAAGCAGGAATATCACCACCCTTCCACTGGCTCCCACTGCCAGGCTTCTGCACTGACCCCGGCGTGGTCCCGGTGGCCTCTGTCTACATCCTCTGGTCACCAGCAATGTGAGGGCATCGCTGGGCCAGCTACACTGCGGGAGCTGCCGAGCAGAAATCTCCGAACTGAAACCTTTCACATCCTTTCATATCGTCTGGGACCCTCGACATCAGAAGGATATCGACCAGTTGGAGCGAGGCCAGAGCGGGCCAAGGAGAGGGCTCCGAGGGCTGGAGCCCCTCGGCTATGGTGACAGGCTGGGAGAGTTGGGGGGGTCAGCCTGGAGAAGGGAAGCTCCGGGGGGACCTCAGAGCCCCTTCCAGTGCCTGGGGGGCTACAAGAAAGTTGGGGGGGACTTTTCCCAAGGGCAGGGAGTGACAGGACAAGGGGAAATGGGTTTAAACTGAAAGAGGGAGATGGAGATGGGACATCAGGAAGGCATTCTTCCCGCAGAGGGAGGGAGCACTGGGACAGGTTCCCAGAGAAGCAGTGGATGCCCCATCCCTGGGAGTGTCCAAGGCCAGGCTGGATGAGGCTTGGAGCACGCTGGGCTATGGAAGGTGTCCCTGCCCATGGCAGGGGGTGGGACTGGGGGGGCTTTAAGGTCCCTTCCCACCCAAACCATTCCATAATTCTGTGATTCTATGATCTGCAGCTTTTATAGTCAGCAGTGAGATGAAAGAGATGCAGAAAAATGCCCTTCCACATGCTGCCAAATGGGGTTTAACAGCGATGCAGCTGGTGAAGGCTCCGCAGAAAACACCCCGCTGCTGGAGAGACCTCTGGGCTTCGGGGAAAAGCCTTTCCCAATCTCTGCCCTTGTGAAAAGCCTCTTCAGCCACAGCGCAGGGTGCAGGCACCGTGTTGAGGCTCCCGTCCTGGCACCACCATCCCGCCCTCCCCAACAGCCAGAGCCGCATCCGGCCATCGGAGCACACACGTGTGCACACACGTTCACACAGAGGCTTTCGGGGGGTGGCTGTGTCCGAAGGAGAGCCAGCTGGCAGCAGCCCAGCTCAGTTTTGGCAGCCTTCTGCCCCAGCCTCAGCTCGTGGATAAATCACCTCATGCCCCCCCTCTGCAGCGCTCACGGGACGACGTTTTTCTGGATGACCTGAGCCTCAACATGCTGCCTCGCTGCCTGCTTTTCTCCTCCGTTTTGCAACACATACTTGACCCCTGACTTGGGAGAGCTGTAAATATTAACCACTGCCATCAGCTGAGATTGATACGACCCTGCTGAAGCTGCCAAGCTCTGCTCTGGCTCAGGCGCTCAGGGCTGGGCTGTGGAGCTCGCCCTGCCTAAGAGGCTCAGCCTAAGCTCTCCCAAATCCATGTCCTAGCTCCCTAACATCACTTAGCCCAAGGAAAGGGGCTTAGCCCTCCTCCAGCTGCTTGCCTGCAGCCGGACAGGGTGAGCATCCTTACCCTACTCCTCCCCGACTCGCTCCTGTATTTCCCTTCTGTTCTGGAAGCCAAGGAATCAAACCTCGCGAAGCAAAGCTGGGTTTGAAGAAAAGCAAGTGCCCTCAGCTCCCATCCTCCTTGACTCCCCACGCTGCAGGGCGCGTGCAGACCCACAGTGAAGAGCTCTCACCATAAATGTGTGTAAAGCCCTGCCAGATCCTGCTGCACCACAATCCTCCTGCTCCATGCAGGAATCCACCTATTTCCCAGAAACAGGCAAGGAACACCCCCTGCCACTCTGCACTACCTAGAAAGGACGAGTGTCCTTGAATTCCCATGTTTTCAGTGGCAGCTGCTCTCAAGGAGACGCTCGCTGGGACTAGCCTCCCCCCTTGCAGCATGCCTGGACCATCCTCCTCCATCAGCCACCCCAAAACTGCCCTGGGGATGCTGGGCTGGTGGCACAGTGGGGCAGGAGGGGAGGAAGCAAGTGTCCAACACCACGGGGCAGCGCAGGAGCTTGGAGCTCTGCCCACGCCACGCACCCCCCCGTGTGCTCTCCGTAAAACCCTGGAAACATTCCCCCTGGAGAGGCCCAGCCAGGCAGGAGACTGGCACTCTGGATTTCTCTAAGGCTCTTTTGTCCCCATCACCCTGATGCTGTGGCTGGTAACAGGACACCGAGCAAGGAGCATAAACACCGAGCTAAGTGGTTTGAACGGAGAGTCCGGTGGGAGAGCACGGCGGGGGGCACTGGGGAGCGGTGACCTCAGCAGATGTCGCTTCCCCCTCCCCTCAAGACCTCCTGAAACCAAAGACCCAGGAATTTGCACGGCATCCCACAGCACAGGGATGCCCTGCCTACTCCCCTTTTCCACCACAGACGGCTGAGCCCCAGGATCCCAGGGACTCACCGGTGCCGCATGTAGCCGTGCACGTGGTCCAGGAGCCGAAGCGCCAGAGGAATTCTGCCGGCTCGATCTCATTCTCGCTGTCCGCCGGGCGCTGGATGGTGTATTGGTACCGCACGCCGGGGTTGGTCTCCTGAAACAGCAGCTGGGGGACACCAGGGAGGTGGCTAGTGCAGGGCACTCAGGGCTAGCCATCTCCCCGGGGCTGGTCATCGCACCCTGGGGGCTTTTCAGGATGTAACGACCTGCCTAGCACAGCCATAACGCCTCATTCCACATCCAGCTCTGCACCAGGCTGTAGAGACAGGACAAGGGGTAAGTGGTTTGAACGGACAAAGGGAGATTGAGATGCGATATCAGGAAGGAATTCCTCCCACAGAGGGTGAGGAGCACTGGGACAGGTTCCCAGAGAAGCTGTGGATGCCCCATCCCTGGGAGTGTCCAAGGCCAGGCTGGATGAGGCTTGGAGCACCCTGGGCTATAGAAGGTGTCCCTGCCCATGGCAGGGGGTGGGACTGGGTGGGTTTAAGGTCCCTTCAACCCAAACCAGTCTGTGATTCCATGATTTGTTCCTTTGCACTGCTGTTGGCAGGGGACAGCGATGGTTCCAGCTGCTGCACCCAGCAGCATGCAACCGTTTCGGAATGGGGGTTGGCAAATGGCTGAAGCAGCTGGGAGCTCCCCGTTTGCCCCTCCAACCTACCACCCATGTGCCCTGGACACTGGGCGAGGGGCTGGGGGTGCACCCACCCCGGCACGACACCCCGGCAGCGGTGGAAGGAGCTGCGGCCAACAGGAGGAAGCCTGTTCCTCCAGAGAAAAAGCCAGCGATGGCTGACGGCGACATGTGCCCGAAGGAATCTCCTTAACCGCTCCCCACTCAAAACGGGCTCCCGCTGCTCTCAACAGGCACGAAGCGGCTGACACATCCCGCCCAAAGCACCTCCCGCACCAGCCCTCGGCACAGGCTGGGAGTTCAACCTTGTTTTTCTTAGCCTAAGTGCTCTCATTATTGCCAAAGCTTTGTTTTTCTTGGAGCTTTGGCGGAGCGAGGAGTGTCTTTCCAAAAAAATCTCTTCATGAACGTTGAAACCCTTTTTTGTCAAAAGGTTTTCCTTAGGTTACGAATCCCAGGAAGTGATTTACGGGCGCCAAGCACGCCAGCGTCCCACTGAACAGCAGCACTTGGCGGCAGAGCCCAGGGTCCTGCTCACATTTCATCCTCAGCCTCTGCTGAAAGAAACGCAAAAGGCAACGGCTTTGGCTGCTGGGGCATCCCGGGCTGAGCCACGACTGCCAGGGCCGGGGGGGTCCTGGGGGTCCGTGGGACATCGCTCCATGGCAGTCACCGCCTCTGCCCCATGAGGGATTTCAGCCTGGTGCTGGCTGTGCCATCACCCTTGCAGCGATTCCCACCGGCTGCTCCGGGGAAAGCTTGGCCTCACGGGCACACGTGGGCTCCCGACAGCTTTACACTCACTGGCAGATCCCTCACTCCTGCCTGTCCTGGTGGCCGTTCCCAGGGGAAGGAATTGCAGAGACAAGCACACAGCAGCAACGAGCAGCTCCCGAGGGACCTGCCCGAGCCCCCCGCACCACCCTGCCTTCCCTCCGCCCTCCCCACCGACAGTCAGAACCCTGCAAAGCTGTGCAAAGCTTGTGAAAATATCAATCCACGCTGAAAAGTAATCCCCTGGGCAGCTCTTTTCCATGGAAACCAGGTGAAAATTAATAGAGTGGGATTAGTTTGCAAAATAAGGCAATTTCCAGATCAGCCCCAGCGCGGCCACGGCTGCAGCAGAGAAGGGGAGCAGCGGCTGCGGAGTTGGGCTCTTATTAAAAGCCTTTGCAGGATGCACCAGGCGGGAATTTGAGAAGGGAAGGGGCTGGGATGCACAAGCTCACGAGCCTGGGGAAGCAACTACTTTCCAAAACCGTGAGCAAACTCCGGGCTGTGGGGAAGCAAACGCGCGCTCCCGTCATGGAGGCAGAGAGAGACCTGGGGGCAAAAGCACTGTCAGGGTGAGCAGGTTCACCCAGAAATAAATAACCCCGAAGCAATAAATAACCCTGAAGCAATAAATAACCCTGTCGTGTGTTATCTGCTCCACACAAAGGCTGCAGACAACGCCTGACGGGAGCCAGAGACGGGCAGATGCTCTCCTCCCTGCAACTCTGCCATCCTGGAAACACTGCTGCAGCAGATTGTTTTTTAAATGCACTGCTGGTTTGTGGGGTTTTTTTTTGTACTATGGGGTTAATTGCAAGTTCTCCTGCCCAGATCCGGGCAGGCAGAGCGGTAGGTCCTGGAACCACGGCGGACGCCAGACAGCATCGTGCCCCGATGGGGCTTGCCTCCTCAAAGACTCGGGGGTCTGAAGAAAAATAACCTTATGGAAATTCTCACATGCAAAAACAGAGTAAAACTCGACATTTCTAACTGTTTCAGAGGATTTCAAACGATTCTTTTGGATTTTTACCTTCTTCCTCACGGGTTTTTGCAAGGAAGCGGAGCCTGAGCTGCAGTGCCCTGGGCAGCATCGCCCGGGTTTGGACCAGGACCCCACGGACTGAGGTCCTCGCCACGGCGCCAGGCAGTGCAGAGGGAGGCACAGCCCCGGGGGGTGCACGGCACTGCTGAGGGGTGCCGGTGGGCCACCCTCTGCAACCATCACGGCACCGTGGCAGCTCCCAGCTCCCACCACCCCTGCCGCTGCTCCAGCCCTGCCAGAAGCACCACAGGCGCTTCCCCTGCTCCTGATAAGATATGGGAAAGGCCTCAGGAAAGGAGCTCTTTCTCTGCATGCTCTGCTGTGTAAATATTTTGAGGAACGCTGCAAAGGGGATGAGGCTCAGCTGGAAGCAGCATGGGCTGGAAACACGCTCCTGGGGCCAGCAGCGCAGCTTGGCTGCTCCCAATGCCAGCTCCCAGAGAAACACTTGGCGAGGGATGCCCCATCCCTCAGAGTGCAGGGAAGTGCCAGGACAGGCCACAGCAGCCCGGCACGGGAAGGCAGAAGAGCTGGTGGCTCTGTCCCCACAGTCCTCCCACCCCGTGCATCCCGACCACCAGCAGCGCCTTGACCGTACCTGGATCCACACGGGCTCCACGGTGGGACCCGGGGAAGTGAGGTTCTCCCAGTTTCCCATCCTCTTGTAGGTGAAGGTGGTCCCTGCCACCCTGTAGTCCCCGTTCCACTGGATGGTCCAGCCGCCATTCAGGAAATACTTCTCTGGGTCCTCGCTCCGCAGCGCCAGAAAATTCCCAGCTTCTGCGACTTCTTCAATCCGGATCTCCCGTGCTCCGATGGGGATAATCCCAATATCAACATAACCTGGGAATAGAACTGAGCATGGGTCTTGGGGCAGTCAAAGACATGACAGAGGTGATCTGCACCCTCAAATGGGTGCTCATGTCCCCGGGTGGGTGTTAGCGTCCCCAGGTGCCAGCATCGTGCCACTTCTTCCCCTCTGCAAGGCACCAGTGGGCACCAAACCCCACTTTGCACAGAGCCCAGCTCCGTTCTCAGCCGGCAGAGCCCACTGCAGAACAAGATTTATCCCGTATGGGTGCTGGCAAGGCATTTACTGCACTTTCAACATGTCCTTGTAACCCACAAAATCCGCTCAAGCCTCTCCAAACCAGCTCCAGGGCGCACAGGTTTGGTTTTAGGCCTTCAGACACCAAGAGCAGCAAGGGGATATTCTTCTTCCAAGGAGCAAGAAGTGGAACACCAAGAGCATGTCTGCCATGCTGCCGCTCGGGTCTCACCCCATCAAAATCGACAAGTTGGGAGTAAAAACCACCCTGCAAACAAGCAGCAGCAGTGAGCCCGGCACCGGGTGTTTTGGTGCACCCTTACCCAGCCCCTCGCTGTCCTCGAAGGTCTTCTGGATGGTGTGGCAGGTGGAGCCATCCCCGTGGCACACGCCGCACCGGTCCTCCACAGCGTTGGAGTTGATCTCGTAGTCACAGCCCACGTTCTGCAAGGCAGCCCCGTCAGCCGCCTGGGCCCGCACCCCGGCCTGCCCCAGCCTCCCACTGCACCATCAGCCTGGAGGAGGACCAGACGTGGTCCTAAACGGTGGGAAATAGGGAACACGGAGGGGAGAGAGGGGCGAGCTGGAGTCTTTTTGCAGGATGGGCGGTGATACAGCCACATCGGCTGCAGTGCAGGTCCCTCTAACGCATCCTGGTGATTCCATGATTCCCTTGAGGCCAGGCAGAGGCTGAATTATGCCCGTACCGCCGACCTCATGAAACACTGCAGGTTTCTGAGCGGTGAACGACAAAACGAGTGAGCTCAGCCCATCGATGCACGCGAGGGGGGACAGGGCTCAGCGAGGGATGGGTCACAGCAACCTCCTGCGTTTCCCCGAGCACAGGGGGCCCTCGGGCTCCCTCCCCACGGGACCCACCTTGCAGATGCCGTTGATGCACATGTCACGGCTGGCGTTCATCTCGTAGCACGGCGTCCCGTCGATGACGGCGTCCCGCAGCTTTTCTGCAAAGTATTCGTCCTCGGGCCGGCAGTGCAGCTCGCAGGGGTTGACTGAGGAGCACAACAGCCAGAAACTGAACCCAAGCAGCCAGAGGTCTACATAACCATCCTCAGAATCATAAATGAACCCTGCAAGCCCAGCCATAATTTAAAATATGGCATAAACACGTTGCAAGGCAAATCTTACAGACAGAAACAGCGAAATCAAGCTGTTAGCAAGACCGTGTTTCAGGACTTTCACTGAGGCTGCAGGCAGAAACCCAGCAGTGGGCACTGCCCTTGACTCACTGTTGTTGGGCACCGGCGTCCACTTGTAGAGTTTCCCTTTGTAGAGCATGGGGTTGAACTGGCTGCACTGGACCTGGCGGAAGGAGGGCTTGTCGAGGGGACACGGCCTGACGTTGCAAATCCGGAACCGCTTCCGCTCTCCCAGGCAGTACCTGCCCCCATACTTCGGCCTGTCCGTGGGAGGGAAAAGGGAAACTCATAGAATCACAGAGTGGTTTGGGTGGGAAGGGACCTCAAAGTTCCCCCAGAGCCACCTCCTGCCATGGGCAGGGACACCTTCCATAGCCCAGGGTGCTCCAAGCCTCATCCAGCCTGGCCTTGGACACTCCCAGGGATGGGGCATCCACAGCTTCTCTGGACAACCTGTCCCAGTGCCTCCCCATCCTCTGCAGGAAGAATTCCTTCCTGATGTCCCACCTCAATCTCCCTCTTTCCATTCAAACCCGTTACCCCTTGTCCTGTCAAAGACCTACCACACACAAGGGGAAACTCCTTTTCTACTCCCAGCGAAGGGAGGGTGGCTCTGTACCTGCTGCTAAGGTTTGATTTCATGAGGTTGGGTCAAGTCAACCTGGAGTCAACTCTCAGCTATCGCTCGGCATGGAGGGAAGCTGGCTATGAACCCAACATCCACCCAGAAGGATCCCCACTCCACAGAGCGCTTTCAAAACGCGTGGGAACCATGGCCGTTCTCCAGGTCCCTCCTGGACCAGCCCGCTGCTGTGGCTGCTGGGCTCTGCTCCGGGGCCGCGCAGGGTGAGACCGTGGACCAAAGGCAGCTTGTGCTGAGGGACGGCTCTCGAGCTGGATTAGCTACTCCCTGGGTCACGTCCCTCTTGAGAGTCTCTCCTAAGCGACGACAGCATGGCCAGCTTCACAGGCTAGGGTACGATGCTATAAAAGCGGTTATAAGTTGGGTGTCACTGGCAGCCTGAAGCTCCCCGATTGCCCAGGGGTAAAGCATCTCTTTCACCACCCCAGGCACGTGGCTGATGAGATGCCAGCACTCCCACCAGCCGGGTGTCCGTTCGTTCTGCGGCCGCTCCGGTTGAGCTGCTCTCCATCCCGCTGGGGATGCGCTGCCAACTGCTCCTCCACTGCCCGAGGGGACGGCAAAGCTGCCGCCCGACTTTTTAACGGGGGGCTTTAAAAGCAACAGTAGGTTTTTCTCAGATGCTAAGAGATTCTCAAAACACTGCCATCGTCTCCCAGCATTTGGAGACACCCTCTCCTCGGCCCCACGACCTCACGAAAATCACTTCTCCCCTCATCAGTTAAGTCCGGGATCTCTTGGCTGAAGAGAATCAAGTTAATTATTATTTCAGGGTTGTTTACATACCCTGCCCCGAGGAAATGCCTGCGGGAGGAGCACTGCCCAGCGCACACATCTGCTCACTCCATCCCAAAAGGCAAAGCTGAAGATTTACCTACAGTGGCCAAAGCAAACAACTGCCCGGGGAAACCCTCCTGCTCTCCCCGGGCTTGCTCTCCTGCCCGCCCGCAGCTGCGTTTGAAACACTCCATAAACCACAGTCGCGCTTCTGCCACGCTACTCGTGTCAAACACAGACCCAGCGCTTGAGCCGGGACCCAGACTACACGGCGCTTCTTTAAACAGCTCAACAGCAGCGCTACAGACGACGCACCCGGGGCACAAAGCACGTCTGGGCCCAGCCGAGCCTGTGCCCGCAGCTCCCAGGTCTCCCCAAGCCATGGAAAAGCGACTGCCGCTGGAACTTTGCCCTTTTCTTTCCTCATTCCAGGGCACTCCGACACCTGGGCAAGCTGGGGGCTCTGCCTGAATCCAATACCACAGCGATTTGGGGACCAAGGGGACATCTGGGGAGCACATGGGCCAGCCCAGAAACCATGGGATGGAAACGGCTGCTCCTCCTTCAGTGCCCGGACGCTTCCAGGCGAGAGCCAGTGCTGGCTGCGGCACCGGACGGATCGGGCAGGCAGCCTCCAGCCGGGCACAGGAAAGAATCATGGAATCCCAGAGCGGTTTGGGTGGGAAGGGACCGTAAAGCCCCCCCAGCCCCACCCCCTGCCATGGGCAGGGACACCTTCCATAGCCCAGGTTGCTCAAAGCCTCATCCAGCCTGGCCTTGGACACTCCCAGGGATGGGGCATCCACAGCTTCTCTGGGAACCTGTCCCAGTGCTCCCACCCTCTGCGGGAAGAATTCCTTCCTGATGTCCCATCTCAATCTCCCTCTTTCCATTTAAACCCGTCACCCCTTCTCCTGTCACTCCCTGTCCTTGGAAAAATCGCTCATGGAATCAACGAGGTGATAAACAGCAGTGGGATTTTTCAAAATTACTCTGAATCAGGCTCAAGGAACACCTGGTGTTCTCTGCTGCCGTTAAAGGACACTGGATACGGTTTACATCTGCAGGCGTGGAGGCTTTGCTCCGTGTTTGGGTCATACTGCAGCCGCTCTCTGCCTGCACGGAGCAGGAGGCTGGAAGGAAACAGAACAAACTTCCCCCTTCCCCGAGGCTTTTGCTGCCCATCCGGCTGGATAACCCCATGAAACGCATCCCTAGTGTTTCAAAAACACATTGTCCAGGCAGGTAATGGCACGAGGGTGCGGTTTTGCCGCGTGGCGCAGACAGGAGCAGGACCGCACTGGCCAGACGACGGCCCTCAGCTTTATGGGGTGATAAAGAAGCATTGGGAGGTTCCTCTCCCAAATGGGGTGCAGGGAAGGAGTTCGGGCTCACTCACGTGGGGTTGCTGCACTGCCTCTCGGCGCTCTGCACACCCGCGCCGCAGCTACGCGAGCAGGCAGCCCACGAGCTCCAGGAGCCCCAGCCGCCGTCGATGGCCTCGGGACGGTAGCCCACGGGCACGCACTCCCCGTTGAAGCACCACTGCAAAGGGACAGGCCAGAGGAAGAGAAAACAAGGCTTAAGGATGCAACAACTGGTGGTGAAGCAGGCAGCCTGGCTATGGGGAGCATCAAAGCCCAGCACCTGTACTGCTCCGTGGAAATCCGGGCTTTGATGGCACAGAGGTGCCCAGGGGTCAGCTGGGCTCTGCCAGCACCGGTGCACCTCTAAATGATGGGAAATTTGGAGATGTTGGGCTGTTTGAGGATTTGAATGAGGCAACAGACCTGAACCTCCACCAAGAGCGCTCAGCGAGAGGGTTCACAGCCTGACTGCAGCCCAGAGGGAAGAGCCAGCGAGGCACAGCCATGGACAAAGGCACAGCGGGATGCTGTGCAGGGAGCAGCGGCTAAGCCCAGGGTCACCCCCTGCTCTGGAGCCAGGGCTTCAGGAGGGGACACCAAACTGAACAAGGAGACATGTCTTATAGTTTTATAGCTCTGTAGTTTTATGCTACCTTGGGTAGGAAAACTCTGTTCTGGAAGCACAATGTGTGACAGCTCTGTCCCAGGAGCTGGGACAGGAGCAGCATCACCCACGTGAGGGTGACCGGAGCTGGATGCAGAGCTGGACCCCTCTGCAGCACCTACTGAGCTGCCCTGGGCGCTGCCGGACCCTCTGTGCCCCAGGGCCGGGAGTCTCCCCTGCATGGCCAGCTCGCTCTGCCACCACCGC